CTTTACCTGGATTAGCATTGCTTTACCTGGTTTAATCCACACCATGATCCTATAAGGGAGAATCTATTAGTGGCCCCATTATACAGATGAAAATAAAACTTCAGAAGGTTAGTAACGTGCTATCATCACACAAGAGCAGAAACTGGCACCCAGATCTCCCTGAATCAGGGCCCATGCCCCCAAGACTGCACCAGGCACCATCCCTTACCGCCTGCAGCTCCCTGTCCTGGAAGAGCCGGGGCAGAAGGCAGCGCCTCAGTGGCACCGTGAGCAGAAGCAGGAAGGGGAAGGCGAGGGAGGCCGCCGTGGACTTGACCACCCAGAGCAGTGCGATGCAGCCCAGCTGGATGCAGGTAAACAGGTGCATCCGCCAGGTCTTCACCTGGGGAACAGGCGTCAGGTCTCATCACACAGCAACCAACCAGCTCCCAACTTATCTTTGGGGACTTGGCTCCCCAGGTCCCAACTTCTCCTCCATGGTCATCCCAGCCAACTCCAGCCCAGGGATCCCTTGGACTCCCTCACCGTCAGCCCATCTCCCCGCCTCCATGTTTCCTGGCCCTACCTTGGTCACGTAGGGCTGTTCAGGATGGTGTTTTGCTGGCATGAGGATAAGCAACAGACGCTGGGACAGCTGGATACCAGACAGTGATGTGACCCCCATGTACAGGAAAATCCCAAAGAGCACGGCCAGCGGGATCCGGCGCAGCACAGCCCCCATGACGATGGACAGGCCTGGAGGAGGTGACACAGACCTACATGACCCCTGGACAGCCCCCATGAGGACAGGTGGGCCTGCTGGGGAGGGGACGAGCTGGACCTCATCACTATGACCAAGAGAAGATGGAGAAATGGAGCAGGACTTAGAACCAAGAAAGGGCTCCAGAAAAAAGGCACATGGAGTGTCAAGAAGCAGGTTTGGGGGTCAGAGCAGGGCCAGTCATGACGCATTCGGAAATTCAGAAGGGGCCTGGGTCAAGTCTGGGATGGAGAAAGGATTTAAAGTCCAAGAAGGCCAGTCTGTGGGGCGGGGCCGGGGCCTTGCAAGGATGCTCTCACCCACGAGGCTGGCGATGAGCACTCCAGTGACCCGCTGCTCCCGCACCTCCTGGATCTGGGGCTTGTCGCCGGGCGCAATGGCAGTGCGCATAACGGTCAGTGCATTCACGTGGGTGACTGAGCGGACGGTGGCAGCCGTGAGCCAGGGCAACCCAAACAACCCACAGAGCCCACCCAGGGAGCCGATCAGAAGCAAGTCCAGGTGGAAGCCGGAGCCTTTGAGCAGCCTCCGTGCCTTCTGGCTGACGATGAGCCTGCGGGGAGGGGACAGGCAGCAGGGATGAGAGGCAGGCGGGCCAGCGGCAGGATCAGGCACACACCGCAGGGACAGTGTAGTGGGGCAAGGACACCCAGAGCAGAGCTTTCCCGGGACCTGCCAGCTTCCTCTTTCGAGTTCTCAAATTGAAGTTCTCACATTTAAGCAAATTTGAGCCAAATTCCCATACTGTGGATATTTAAAACACTGCAAAAGCCAGATGCCAGCTCTCACTACATCACTGTGGTTTAACCAAAATGGGATATATGTGAGCATCACTGGGTGAGAGAACACGCTGCCAGGGTGTTCTGAGGACTGTCAAGTGCCACCCTGCAAAGGGTGGTGGCGACTGACAAATGTCACGTCAAAGCACAATGGGGAAATGCCCCAGGCCCATGTCCACCCTACGGCTGCCAATCCCACAGCTCCCCACCCCTCCCCCACCTCCTCCACCCAGGGTGTCCCCAGCCCGCTCACGCAGTGATTTGTGTCTCCATGAAGATCAGGATGAGGACCAGGAGAGCAGGCACGGCGGCTGCCACCATCATCCAGGGTGGGAAAGGACGGGCACTGCCCAGGGGCGGGATGAACCACGTGCGTTTATGGGGGGAGGTCACTGAGAGCCCCGTGGGCACTGTCAGCTTCTGCACGGCCAGAAGAAAGATAAGGTTCAAGGATGCTATCTCCCCAAGCTGGGAACTCCATGTAGCAGCTGCTCCCTGCAAGCACTGTGCCCCTGGTACCAGGGCTCCAGGGAATTTAGGTCTGAACAGTTTGGAGGAAATTAGTTTTGTATCCTCCAAAGTCACTGTCCTTCCAAGGGTCTGGTAGAGGACAGGAAAATGATATACCTTCTCCGTGAGCCCCAAAGCTGTCAGGAGACCTGCTGTGGGGACGCCTGTCATTCTGCTCCCAGTCCCACCTGCTCCTCCAGGAGTCTTGACTGAGGGTCACACACAGCCCCAGACCCCGTAGCTGGCCACTCAGGTGGACCACACGGCTGCTTCTGAAAGCCTCAGCCCAAGCACCCCTGGGAGCCCTAGCACACCAGCATTTCACCAGGAACGCGGGGTTCCAGGACTGACTGGCTGCTGGGAGAATGAGGAGGTGTTGCGGCCTCCCTCTCAAGGCCCTGGGGTGAGAACCAGCAGCGAGAGGTGGTTGGGAGTCACTCACCTGTGTGTAAGTGTCTGTAATGGAGTAGTCCACCAGGACCATCACCAGAATGGAGATGGGGATGCCGAAGTCCCCGATGATGCGGCGAGCCTTGAGAGGGGCCAGTCAGGGTAAAGGAGCAGAAGGTGGACAGAGGTGAGGGTTGGGAGAGGAGCACGGGGGCTTAGTACCCCAACCTTGCTTGCGTCTAAGCAGGAGCCAGGAGTCCCCTGGCCTGTCCCTTTAGACCCCACGGGTGTCGGCCCAGCCCAGGAGGGCACTCCCCTCCTGATTACACTTCTCTGAGGCTTCAGACAGGGAGGAGGGCTGCAGGGACTCGGTTCAGGTCCCTGGGCTGACTGGGAGAAGGCACAGCCCCACTCTGGAGCGGAGCCTGGCAGTGACAGCAGGAACTGAGGGAGACTCACGGAGCCTCCCAGGCCCCAACCCTGCCAGCCACACACCTTGCCACCCAGGAAGCGGCTGTTCCTGAACTTGCGTAGGAAGAAGGCGATGAGAAAGGTCCCAAGCATGAGGATGAGGGACAGCAGAGCCGTGTTGGGCTGGTTCCTCGGGCCCGGCAGCCCCTCAGTGGGAGACGGGACACTCCCATTCAGGTCCTGCCCAGCCTCCAAGGCTCCCCCAGGGGGGTAGAATGGCAGCAACGGGTGCTCCATGAACACCTGTGTGGGTTACATGGCCGCCTTGGCGCTCACCTGGGTAGGTGGCCCTGATTTTCTACCATCAGCACACCTGTGAGGGAGAGACCTGACCAGGCAATGTAACACAGGACATCCAGCTATATCTCACACACACCCCGCCTCTGCAAATGGTGACGCGAGGACCCCCAGCCCTGCAGCACTGACAGTGCCCTCCTCCTGCCACATACCTTTGCGGGTGAATCCTGGAGTTCAAATATCTGGGTTGACTCCCTGACCTTCAACTCAGACCTAGCCTAGGGTGTCCTCAACCCCCCACGCTCACACCCAACATAGCCTCCCTCTTTGTCCCCTCTGCCCACGCCACTCCCTCCCATGGTCTCCTCCCAAGGGCACTGCCCAGCCCCCTCTACACCCACCCCCAAGACCTCTCGGGGTCTCCACCTTGTAGAGCTTGTGGAAGGTCTCATAGATGAAAATGAGCGAGATGAGGAAGGCAAAGATCTCCTGGGTGAAAGGCGAGATGTAGCGGACCAGGAAGCTGCCTTCTGCGGCTACCAGGGCAAGGACGAAGACCACCAGCCAGAGGCCCACCCACACCCGGCCCGTGAGGTACTCCAGGTCCTGGGCTCGGCAGAACTAGAGGTCAGGAGGGAGAGAGGGTTACCCACAGCCGTCTGCCCTGGACGTCAGGGACCCATGGCACAGGCAAGAGGTGACCCCCGAGGGAGAGGGGGAGAGACCGCTGGGGCCCCTCACCTGGGCTGGGGCATAGGATGGGGCAGGTGACCCCGGGGGAGGGGTGGGGCAGGCTGTCACCTTGAAGAAGGCTTCTTCGAAGACAAGCAGTGGCCCAGAGAAGCCGACCACGAGCAGCGGCTGGGCCCCCAGCAGAGAGAAGAGGACGCCAAGCACAGCCGTGGACACAATCAGCTCAGACACACCCATCAGCCCCTCCGTCTTCTCCCCTGGGGCAGGCAAGGGTCGGTGGGATGGGCCAGGCCCAGCTCCTTCCACCTGGCCCCTCTTCCTCATCTAGTTTCCCTAACCCTGGGACCCAAGAAGAACAGAGCAGCCCCCTAGGGTGATATCTAGGGCCTCTCACCACTCCCATCCCTCCTGCCCCTCACCACCAGCCTCCAAGGTGATCATCGGGTCCCCAATCCCCTCCCATTTGTAGTCCCCCAAAAGTGACTGCTGGGACCCCCTGAGCCAGCAGCTCCTTAAGATGGTCACAACAGGGGTGATCTCCTCTCAGCCACCGGCCCCCCTAATGTGATCGCTGGGATGCCCTGACCCAGAAACCCAGCAGGTAACATTGAGCCCCCTCACCTCTTCTCCCACCCCCTCACCTCTTCTACCACCCCCTCACCTAGCAGCCCCCCGAAGGTGATGGCAGGGCTGAGGGCAGCGAAGTAGATGAAAAGCACGGCGGCCACGCACTGGGAGTGCAGGGCGTCCCGCAGGTCGCTGGGGTAGTGTGGGTACCGGCGCTTCACGTCCCGGACAAGCCCCCCGAACACCGAGCCCGTCCGCAGCAGGGGGTCATCTTCGGGGGCCGCCTCGGAGCCCCCCAACTCTATTGACAGCTCTGGGGGCACAAGGGGCTGCTGGAACACAGACCATGCCCCTCGTGCTGGGAGCAGGCCCTGGGCTCCATCCTTCCCAGCTGGGGACGCGTCGCAGAGACCAGGGTCAGGGGTTGGAAGCCATAAACAGGGCTCAGGAGTCAGGATGGGACTGGGGTCAGGGCCTCGGGAGCTGGGGTGGGAGCATGTATGCTGGGAAGGGGGGCTCCAGGCCCCCAAGGGTCTGACCTTTCCCGGGGGCCACGTAGCCACCCTGAGTGGTCATCTCAGCTTTGGTCTGCTCGCGCTCCCGCCGCTTCTTGAGCAGCTCGCGCTGGAAGGCAGCCACAGAGCGCAGCAGGTCCCGGCCCTCCACCTCGGATGGGGGGATCACGATGCTGCCATCCAGGAACTCGCTGATGGCACTCAAGAGGTCCTGCCGGTCGTCTGCCTGGTAGGCAGCCTCGTGAAACAGCTGGGGGCAGGAGAGGCAGGGGCTGAGCTGGTGGCCCAGGGAACCCCTGGGATGGGGGTTTTGGGGACCAGGTGTTGGGCCATCACAGAGCAAGAGGCAAGGTGAACGTTCAGCCACACATACAGGTCTCGTCCAGTTGTAAGAAGTCTGTGCTGTCCAGCAGGCAGCCCCAGCCCAGAACATCACCTGCACCCCCAAGAGTGCCCTCTGCTCCCCTCAGAGCCTCCAGACTTTGCCACAGTGCAACACCTAAGGGGCTAAAGCCTGGCAAAGCAGGGGCCATTCTGATTGGAAAAGGCCCCACCTGAAGGTTGGTAAATCTTTTGAACATCACCCGTGGCCAGAGGACCCTCCTATCCGAGCCCACAAGAATCCAGCCTCCCATTCAAGTCTCATGTCATATCCAAAACTTCGGAGTCTGGGCTTCCTCTTCTCTGCTGAATCCACCCCGCCATTCCCACGGCCCCAGCCCCAGGCTCGCTTTTCTCTCTCAACCAACAGTTCCCTCTACCACTCTGAAGCAAGGCCGGCACCTGGGAGGGCCTCTAGTACCCCTGCATCCATGGGCTCCACTAGGGGCAGTGAGAGGGACAGGAAACAAGTAGGGCTCAGGTGAACAGAAGAGCACCCTGCCCCAGGACTGCAGGACCCACCTTGTCAGACATGAGGGTTGCAATGGAACGCCCAAGCTCGTGATAGTCAGTGCTGGTGTGGTTGGGCCCCAGCATCACAAAGAGAAAGCGAACCGGCACGGGGACCTCAAGCACAGATTCCAAGAGTACAGCCTCGTTCAGGCGCACAAAGGCTGCTGCTGGCTGCTCCAGGAAAGGCACACATCCTGGGGGCAGAGTAAGGCACAGGGTGCTGGGCAAAGGGGAGCAGTCAAGGCAGGCCCTAGAGTGGGTATCTGGGGCCATCACATACAGCTGTGCAGGCTGTGCACTGCGTAAGGAAACCCCAATCTAAAGAACCCGTATTTGTTTGCGTGTTTGAATATTTATTACAACTTACCAACAGATGGAAATCGAGGGTATTAAGGAAAGCGTACTATTTTCTAATCGTCACAAAGGTGCTACATGGACTAGAAACAGTCCATGATAGCGGAAAACCGGATGGGGAACAGGCAGAGGATTGGGGAAAAAAAGGGCTGGGGGGCAAGATGGGTTGAGAAGAAGAGCAGGGGCAGAGTTGGGGGGGGGCAGGCCTGGCTGGGGATGGAAGGAGCAGCCTGCAGGCCAGAGGTCATGACACACAGGCCCCGGTAGAGGCATCCATGCCCCACAGCCCCTACCCCCAGAGCCGAGCCCTCCTTACCCACGAGCACGACAGTAGCCTCAGCATCTTCAGGGATCTTCTCCAGCAGCTTCAGGCTTTTCCCCCGGTGACCATCTCCCCCAGGCATGTGGAGGGGCTTCTGAGGACGCAGAACTGGAATAGGGCTGGGACCCAGACCGGAGGCCATGGCAGGCCCTCCCATCCCTTGCTCTAGGCCTGGACTCTGCCCTCCCATCCCTGGATCTGGGCCCTGCTTTCTCCCTCCCCAACCAATGTAGGGACTGTTGGTGATGTGCCCCATATCAGGAGGAGACCAGCCCAGGACCCAGGTCCCTCCTCCAAGCCCCCCACTACCACCTCAGCCTTATCTTGTTTAAGTGGCTCCCTGGGGTCTGCCCCATCATCCCATTTAAACATCCTGTTTCTCCAGGGCAGGTCCCTCGTGCTGGTCACATAGGTCCCCCACATGCCGAGTATGGGGCCAGGCACCCAATCTTCCTGATCCACTCAGTGAAGCCATCCATAGCCTCCACTGAAACTGGAAGCCTTCTCCACCCCACGAGCCCAGGTCAGAAGAAGGCGACTGACCTCCTTGGCCTCAGGGTCATGAGGCCAGAGTGGGGCTGGCTCCCCCAGGTCATCGACCATGGTAGGCACTGCACCGTCAGGGCCATGGCTGGGGGTTGGGTGATGATTCCCCAGGACCGAGTTCACACTAGAGCTGGACGCATTTCGGGGAAAGAAGCCACTGTCCTTGTCATCATTGGGATGGCTGAGGAGAGGCCAAAGGGGGCAAGGCAGATGAGGAAAAGAGACCCTTGGTAGACTGAGGTCATGAGGAAATGAGAATGGAGGGTCAGGGCCTCTAACCCTTCTGCCTCAGTGTAGGAAGGAACTTTCTAACAGTTGATACTTTATAAAGAGCTCCCTGTCACTTGGGGTATTCAAGCAGAGGCTGGAGAGCCACTCAGGAGGGTCTGTGCTCCTGGAAGGGCAGCTGAACCTGAAGGCCCCCTCTCAGGCACCCCACCCTGGCACCTGTGTTTCAGTAGCAGGGTGCGAAGGACACTGGCCCTGTCCTCTGGCCGGATCTGATCAGACACGATCATGGTCTCCACCACGAGATGTGCGATGCCTGGGAGAGTGGTCTGCTCCAGGTCCAGGAGGGCAGCTCCTGGGGGCACAGTCAGAGGAGGAAACACGGTCCCATCAGATAGAAAAAAACACCCCCCTGTGGCCTTGCTCCCCAAGGGGGCAGGCAAACATGCTGGGTGAGCCCAGCCCCCAGGGCACCCAGGCAGACACACAGTTCCATATGGTCACAGCCCGACCCAAGAGGGATGAAGAAAGAAAGCACAAGGGTGAGGGCACGGCCCCTGCCTCACCCAGAGAGGGTGTTATCTGCTGACTTACTGCACGTGGACGGACACCTACTATGCCCAGGTATGGTACCAGGTACCAAGGCACAGCCCTGCCCCTCAGAGCTTATGGTTGTGCAGGCAGCTGGACCCCACGACCCCAGAAGGGCACCCAGACCTCGCCTGGCCCCAGGGCTCCAGGGATGAGTCCCCCGGGCCAGGCAGCCTGGCACAGGCTGAGCTCTACGGTCTGTGAAGAGGGTGTGCAGCACCAGGGCCAGGCCTGCAGGGCCCCTACCGTGGGCGATGGTCCTCCTGAGCTCTAGCAGGCTGCGGAAGGAGAGCGAGGCCACGTGGGGTTTCCCCCAGCGCTCCGTCTCTTCCTCCACGTCCTCCTCAAACTTGATCCAGCGGGCCGTCTCCCGCCAGTGGGGCTCCTGGCTGCGGTCCAGCATCAGCTCGTTCAGCTCCACAAACACCTGGGGTGGGCGCCGAGGGTGAGGGCCTGGGGGCCACCAGGTGGGACCAGCTGTCTTATGGACATTGTGATGGGGCCAGGCGAGGAGGGAGGGAAAGGGAAAGGGAAAGGAGAGGCGAGAGGAAGCCAAAAGTCCACCCCCTCAGGGTCCTGTACCTCATGAGGCCTCCGGTCCAGCTGCTTCTTCTTCTTCTTCCTGCGCAGGATGGGGGCCAGGCCACCGGGGCTGCCCCTCCCACCCTGCGTCCGAGATGGCTTCTTCACCAGGTGCCGCCGCACACCAGGGTTGTCCTCCAGCCGGTGACCTGCAGAGAAGGTGGGCTTGGCGGTCCCAGGACTCCAGCTCAGGGCCTCAGGGCCAGCCCCTCCAGCTCTGCCCAGCCAGCCTACTTGGGGGGTGGCCCACAGTCACCCAGGGGCCATGCCAACAAAACTACATCATCCAGCATGGCCATTTCCTAGATAAGGAGACTGAGGCCCAGAGAGGGGAAAGGACTAGTCCACAGTCACATGGGGAACCACTGGCTAAGCCACAATAAAAATACAACCCCCAACTCAGTCCACAGCCCCTGCCACAACCACTGCTTCTCACTCTGCACTGCAGGGAGCCACGTTAAGTGGCCGGGCCCCGAGCCCGCGGCACTCTCCCTGCACCCCCTCAGCACTCATGTCTCCCCCATGGGTACACCTCCAGGCAGACTCAGGCTGAGTTTCCCTCCCTTCTTCCCCATCTGCCCCTTTCAGGCTAGCAGCTGTGGGGAGGCCAGCAGCCAAGTTACTCACAAGCCAGTCCCCCTGCCATGGGGCTCAGCTCGCCCCTGATGGATTCCCATAGGTCATAGTCCTCGAGGTCCAGCACAAACATCTCTAAGTCCTCTGAGGCCAGCGAGTCTCGAGGGCTAGGAGAGCTCCAGCCCTCAGCGTCCCCAGGCCCAGGGCTCAGTGCCCCATTGGCCTCTGTGACCTCCTCCAGCAGGCTTGTCATTCCTGGATGGCTGTGGCCTTGGCCCCTGCTCCCTCCCAGAGCCCTGGCTCTCTCGAGAGGTGGGAGCCTGGACAGGAGTGGTCTCTGTCCAACCAGAGCTGAAAGTGGCTGGGCCTCCCGATCCAGACTCCCCAGGTCCCCAGATCTGCTCCCTGCTGCTTCCAGCCCTGACCTGGGTCTGTAAACACACCCTCCCTCTGACCCCACCACCATCCCACTGCCACCGCTGCTGCTGCTGCTGTCATCGGATTGTTCCTGTCCCTGTCCTCAGGCCCTGGCAACTTTCCATGACGTACTGAGCTCAAAGCCCTCCCCTGCACCCCCCACGCACAAAGTGGTTCCAAGGGGGAGGAGGGCGGGGTCAGTGATGCCCCTGGCCTGGGCACAGAGCCCCATGGGTGATGACAGGTGGCACAGAAACCAGGGCACTGATAAGATGGAAGGAATGTGCCGAGATCACAGCCAGGCGTGGCCAAGGGTGGTGTGGTGGGAGTGGGGGACCCTGACATAGGGAGATGCAGAGCCTAGAAGAGTGGTTTCAGACTCAGGGAGCTGGTTTGAAGTGGGTAAGCATTTGCCCCGAGAAGAAGAGCCTCAGGGGAGGGGGACACGATGATATCTCCAAACGTCACGTGGAAGAAGGGCTGCTGTATTCCGGGGGTGACTCAGAGGACACGATCAGGATGGAAGGGCAGAGGTGCAGTGTGGGGAACTCTCAGCTCTGGCACCCGAGGCGTGGCTTGGTGAAGTAGTGAGCTCCCTGTCACTGGCCACATTCCAGCAGAGAGGGATACTACAGAGGGGCTCAGCCCTGGGCTGGGGAGAGCACGGGGCCTCTCCAAGGTCTCTCACAGGCTGGGCACCCGTGGGAGTGGGCCGTGGGGGCTGCCACAGGATGTCACTCACTCTTCATGTCATCCAGATCGGCGGAGCCCAGCATCTGGGCCTCCGCCTCGTCAGTGGGCACCTGCTGCTCTGGGCCACCCAGGCTGCCCAGGGCACTGCCTGGGCACAGCCGCTCCCGCAGGTCATAGCTGGCCGATGGGCTCCAGGGCCGGCTCTTCTCTCCAGTGACTCGGGAGACACGGGCCCGGGGACTTGGGGAGCTGAGGAGGCAACATGGCAACCTTGGACTTGGCAGAGAACCTCCACAGACACGGGCCAGGTTAGGGGTTCTTCTGCCCTCTGTCAGAGACTAAACACAGGCTCCTCCTGGGCAGGAAAAAGCTCACTTTCACCTTCCCACCCCTGTCACACTGGTCCCCAGTTCCTCTCTGTCCCCTCTTCACCCAGACACCCTCACTCTCCTGGAAGACTCCCTGTCAGCCCTCTGGTTGTCTCCTTGTCAACTACCAGCACACCTCTTCCCACCTCCTCTACATCCTCTCCTCTCCTCCTCGCTTCTCTGGGGTTGGAACTGGGGACAGTCCTCAGGGTCAGGAAGGAGCCCGGGACCTGCTCCAGGCTGGGCCAGAGGCCAGTACCTGACCGAGTGCTGGGGGCTCTTGTCGGAACTCAGGCCCACTGACGGCAGCGAGGGCTTGGTGAAGGCAGCCCTCCCTGAGAGGCCGGGACTGTCATCCTCGTCACTTCCAATGGAAAACTGTGGACAAACCACACGTGCCCTGGGTCCCTGCCCCAACCCCCCAGGCAACCCCGCCTTGCCTGCCCCGCTCCCCCACTCCCCGCTGCTGTGGCCTCCCCCCCTCTCCGCACCCCTCCTTGAACAGCCAGCTCTCCTTCGGGTCAGATCCTACCTTTGCTTTTGGTGGGGACCCTGAGGGTGGGGGCTCCATGGGTTCTGCCTCAGATTCCCCTTCCTCTTCCTCCTCCTCTTCCTCCTCCTCATCCACTCCGGCTCCCCCCTCCTCCTGGATGGGAGGGGTCCCCTCAGAGGGAGGAGCAGAGGTTTTTTCCTTCTTTCTCTTCCTCCTGGTTTGCCGGGCAGAGGTGGGGGGCAGTCGCCGCAGCTTGTGGGGTGGAGGCAGGCGCGCCGAGAGCGGGTGGTGGGTATGGTGGGATGTGTGCCGGTGAACTGAGGGTGCAGGAGAGCCTGTTGGGACCCCTACAGCAGAAGAGGGCCCCTTGCCACCCTAGTGGCACACACCTTATTCTAGCTCAAGGCCTCAAACAAGTGCACCCTAGTCCTTCCTCTAGAGCCAGGCTCCCCCCAACACCTGTGTCTGTGTCCTGTCATTGATAAGGCCTGGGAGAGTAGGGGGATGGAGCGATGGAGAGGGGAGGTCATGGTGGGGATGGGGGGACATGATACAGCGAAGAAAGGGAAGGTAAAGTCAGCAGAGCTCAGAAAGGGAGGGGAGGTGGCAGACAGAAGAAAGCAAGGCCAGAGGTATGACAGAGCCTTAGAGAAGATGAAGGTCACCAAGGGAGGCCTCAGGCCCATTTCTCTACATCTCCCCTATGTCTGGGGCCCAGCGCCCCTGGCAGGCAGACAGGTGATGGGTGAGTGAGGCAGGATGACTTAACATGGCATGGTGGCCCAGCACAGCGTCCAGCACAGCATCCAGCATAAGATGGCACCGGGTGACCAAGCCAGTGGAGAGCACGGTGATGGTGGCAATGAAGGTGATGGTGGTGAGGGCGGCCACACTAGGGGTCCCCAGGCTACCCACACTCAAAGTCCCGCTCGCTGTAGCTGCGGCTGGGCTTCTCGGGGTCCCAGGCCGGGGGCTTGCTGATGAGGTCCCCAAACCTGCTCACAGCCAAGGTCTTGCCCAAGTCATCGTCCTCCTCCTCCATGTCTGGGCTCAGAGGGGGCTCCTCCAAGGGCACCCGGACCTGTAGACTCAGACAGACTCTCCTAAGGACACTTGACCCATGTACGCCCCACACCCACCCCAACTCCAAGCCGTGGGTGGGGATAGGGGAGCCAAACTCCATCTTCTACTCCCTGTGCCCCAAGCTGATGTCAACCTCCCAGGCCCCCAGGGCTTGGAAGGAGTGGGGGCAACAGATCCAAAAAATACCAAAAGACCCCTTCTTTCTCCATATTCCCCGCCTAGTTCCAACTCTGGGGGGGGGGGGGGGGGC